TTCTCATTTTCATTCCTGTCTTGCATCCATACTCAGCCTGTATTGCAGTGCCCCAATCTTTTATCCTTTTGAGCTTCTGTGACCTGAGCGGTCCTGTCTGCATGGCCCAGAGTATCAGAAGCTTTCCATATGGAATGGAGAGGGAAGATCAGGAGGGGGCAAGCAAAGGGAATGGTGTCTCTGGGGGACCTAGAGAGGAGAGTGCAGGACTCCAACCCTATCTCCATCTAAGCTGTTTCCCACACTTTAGGATAATGGGTTTGGTTAGCTGTATCATTCCTGTTCTCTTCCCTTTTTTCATAGCTGCACTAATTACCCCAGAGGAGGAGTGGGAGGCCATGCTGCCAGAGCTCAGGGCCACCATACATCAGCTCCTTCACGCGTTGCAAGGAGACGAGGAGGAAGAGGAGACGGCACTAGAGGTTGAGGAGACTGCACTGAGTACAGCTGAGCGCATCATCCAGTTGCTGAGGAAGCTAAACTACAAGTGAGTGGGACCCTTCAATGGGCTGCGGTTGTGTGTGTGGGGGGGGGGGCAGTGGGGGAGGGATCTGCAATATGGGGAAGAGTTACCGTGGGGACGCCCATCTGTAATCCTTTTATCGGGTGAGGTCTGAGCCTTGGGGAAGGGGTAACACCTTGTGGGAGATTGAAGACTCATTTTTTGTGTGGAAAGAGCTTACTGTCCATGGTAGTCTGGAGGTGTTGACGAGATCCCTATCCCATAGGTTCAGGCACAAAGCCAAGTGATGGAGTGCTTCACTGACTGGCTCCTGACTGGATGATTTCTTATTGTGCATCCTCTCTGTCCAGGGATGCTATCCGCCTAACACAGAGGGCCATGTGCCACTTTGATGGGGAGGAGCCCTTCACCAGCAGTTCAGTGTTGGAGAATGACAAGGAAGCCATGACCCTGGCCATTCTGAGGACACTGTACACAGGTAGCTTTTCTGAGACCACCAGTTTCTTGTCTTGGGGGTCATATTGGTACCAACACTATAGAGGTGAAACATGTTCTGTCCCTTTCCTCAGCCCTGTCTCTGCTTGCATTGCATCATGCCATGGAAGTGAGACTTGACTGGCCGTGTGCTGAGAATCTAGGTCTAAATCCCCCTTTTTGGCTGCCTGACTGAGCTGCTGTTAAGTTGTGGTGTTGGGAGCTGATTCTTGGTTTAGGTCACCAGGGATGAATAGGGAGAGGACAAAAAACATTTTCTCCTGCCCCAAGCACTGTTCATGGATAAGTTATTTTTGTTATGTAGATTTCCACCTGGAAAACGATATCCAACAGCTTTCGCATAGCAATGGAGAAGACCCTGTAATAGAAGAGCAGCCACCCCCCGAGCTGGTCAAGCAGGAGATGCTTGTGCAATATCTGCAAGATGCACACAACTTCTCTATGAAGATCACTGAAGCCTTGAGCATGGTCAGCAGGATGATGTATGAAAGCTCTGTCTCTGGTAAGTGGGGTAGCCCCAGATCATCCTATCCATTAAGATTACCAGGGTCCTCAGCTTGGTGGATGAGAGCTCTATCTTGGATATGTGGAAGAGGCCAGGACTGGAATGCCCTGAAGAGGTGCCTTGGGGACTTGCCTGCCTTGTTAACATTGGGCTCACAGAGCCAGTCAAGAGGGTTGTCTTGGGTGGGGTATTCTCTGGTATTTAAAAGCCTCAGTAAACTTTTCAGGTAAATGTAGTGGATCCAGCCTCTGAGGCCTGCAGATTCTTCAGAATATCAGGTGGCCTCAATCAATTCTTCAGGGCAGATTCTCTTGTCCTTTTCTGCTTTGGGGATGCAAGAGTAATGGAAGCCCTTGGCAGCTCTCTTAGTGGGTATTTCCCCGATAGACAGAGCCAGCAGAGCTGACTTCTCTGTTGCCACACTGCACCATTTCCATGAGTGCAGAAGAGAGAGGCAAGTGGCTGGCAGTACATTCTATGTTGTGGCTAATCCCAAATGGCATATGGTCCCTGAGGTGGGCCTCGGACCGCTCTGACCTGTAGAAGAGGCGGGGAGGAGAATTGGAAGGCTCGAAATACTTTCCTAAATCCTCCTCTTTCCTCTGCCCTTCTGCTTTCCTGGGCAGCAGCTGAGGGCCATGGGAACCACATTTGCTTCCAGGTCTCTGACTCCTTGTACTAAGCTTGGGGTTCCTGTAGCCTGATGGGCAGAGGGGCTATGGATTAATTGGATCAGTTAGTTCCTATTCTTGCGCTGCTGAGTAGTTTAGTAGGGAAGAAACGGCAGCGGTTATAAAACAATTTGCTTCTTCATAGCAAGTGATCGGATTCAAACTGCTTTTATCCAGAAGTTGCATGACGTGGCTCTGGAAACATGTTCTCAGTTCATAATCAACTGCGAGTTTTGCTGGGGCTTTTGGTCATCGTTTGGGCACTGCTGAAAGTGCTGTGGCAGCCACCTCTCTACTCCCCAGGGGACAGGACTGTAGCGTGTCGGGGGGCCTGTTGTACGTGGGCTAAGGGTTTGCTGGGAAAACAGTGGGTACATGGCTTATTGCTTAATGATGCACTGGACCCATCCCTTTCACAGACTAGAAGGGACTGGATTGTTGTAAAGCTAGACTGACTCTTCTCTACTCTCCTAGTGGTGCAGGAGGCCATTGAGTTCTTTGTGACAGTCTCGCAGTTCGGTGTTCCCCAGGCACTGCTTGGAGTTCGAAGGATGCTTCCTCTTGTCTGGTCTAAGGAGCCAGGTATCAGAGAAACTGTGCTAAGTGCCTACAGGAGGCTCTACTTAAGCCCCAGCGGGGACTCCGAAAGGTATGGGATCCCCTGATCCGTGTCAGTATCTCTCAGGAGGTGCTGTTGGAAAGAGAGTATAGACTGCGCACCAGTGGGTGCGGTGCGGTAGGCAGGGTGTGGGTGGGTGGTTTTAGGGTGCAATCCAAACCACTGAGGGGTTGTTGCAGGGTGGGCAGTGACCTGGACTACTTTGTAATGTTTTGAGCTTGTAGGTCTCAGGCTAGGCTGCTTGCAAACAGCTTACCAATACGCAGGTCATATCCTGGGTGTCTGTGTACAGCCACAGCCCTGCTCTAGCACAGCGGTTTCCAACTGTTGGGCTGCAGACCTCTGACAGCTGGGCCACGGCAGGTCTGGGGGTCAGGGCTGGAGTACACTGCCCAGTGTCCTACCATACAGGAAAGTGTTCTTCTGTCTTGGGGGAGACCTTGCCCCTTCCTGCTGTTGGCTGGCTGAGAAGCGGGGCAGGACACGCCTCTCCCAACCGCTGCAGCAGGAGGGGGAGGTGCTGGGTGGTATGCCCTTGCCCCCAGAGCTACTGGCATGCAGGCAGCAGCGCAGGGCTAGGTGAGGGAGGTGGGGCAAGCACTGGGGGCTGCAGGGGCAGGGCTATTGCTGCTGGGGGGTTCTGGAGGCTGAGCTAGTACTGTGAGGGGGAGCTACAAGGGCAGGACTGGCATTGGGAGGGCTCTTGGGATGGGGCTAATATTGGGGACTGGCACTGGGAGGCATTCTGGGGGGGTTGAGTGCAGTTGGGCTCTGGAACCAGGAGATTGGTGCTGTGGGGGCTCTAAGGGGCAGGGGGCTGGCACTAAGGAGGTTGGGTGCAGGAGACTCTGGGGTCAGTGGCTGGCACTGGGGGGGTAGTGGAGTTACAGCTGGGACTGAGGGCTCTGGGAGCTGGGCTTTTGGTGGACAAGGAATGTTTTATTTTCACATTTGCGTATTCAAATGCATAATGAATATGCAAATGTTGCTGGTTTCCCAAAAGTTTGTGAATGGGTTTGCCAGTCCCCAGTATCAAAAAGGTTGGGAAACACTGGTCTGGCAGATGGTCAGCTTTCACCAGTCTTGATTATTACTTGCTGGATGACCCCAACCCACTCCAAGTCCTGAAAACATGTTCTGCATTATCTGGCCCTCTCTGGAAGCTGCGATTTAAATAATCATGGCTTCATTTAAATTTAAATGGCTGCACCACTCTGCCGAGCAGCTGTTTGTCGGCAGACCGGGCAGTCTGGATGCTCGATCAGCTGTTTGTCGGCAGATCAGGGCAGTCTGGACGCTCCCCTGTCGACATGAAAGCCCTTTATCGACCTCCCCATTATACCTCGTAGGATGAGGTTTACCAGGGAGGTCGATAAAGGGCTTTCAGGTCGGCGCGGGAGCGTCCAGACTAGCACGTTGAGCCAACAAACAGCTGATCAGCTGTTTATCGGCTCAGTGCGGCAGCCATTTAAATTTAAATGAAGCCGCAATTACTTAAATCACGGCTTCATTTCCCTTTGCTGATCAGCCTAATCTACATGGCTCCATTGACGGAGCCATGTAGTTTAGACACACCCTGCCAGTTCAGATATTAAAGGTCCATTGCTCCTGTAAAGGGTCAGTATTCAAGTCCATTACTTTACCTGGAGTTACCAAACACTGGCTTGAATTTTAGATTAAAGAAAGTAGGGTTTTAAGTGAGTTCTGGTATGAAGTATTCAGGTCAAAAATGGTTGCAAGAGAATTAGAGCTGGGTAAATGGAGGTTAGGTCCTTCAATGGCTATTAGCCAGGATGGGCAGGAATGGGGTCCCCCTAGCCTGTTTGTCAGAAGCTGGGAATAGGTGACAGGGGAGGGATCACTTGATGGTTTCCTGTTCTGTTCATTCCCTCGGGGGCACCTGGCATTGGCTTCTCTCGGCAGACAGGATATTGGGCTGGATGGACCTTTGGTCTGACCTATTATGGCTGTTCTTGCATTGTTAAGTTCGTTACCATGTGTTACCACCAACTTGGCTAACCAAATTCTCAGGTCAGGGTCCCCCTCCCCTTCTTCCCCCCCAAGTCAAAGTTTGATTTCTTTGTTTTCTCAGATGAAAGAAAGGGCTTGCCATTTTCTGCCCCCTTTTTATAGTCCAGTTACCCCACAAAATGAAATTTATTCAAACAGTAAAGAGGTAACATTAAGGTCTGGTATTAAAGGAAGCTCCCATGGTTTTTCTTCTCATTGCATTTACTGAAATGCAAATTTGCTTTTGTCTTTTGTCGTCTTTTTATCTGCTCACTTGAGGACCCTTACTGCTTATGTGCATTAAGCTGAAATTTACATACTACTTTGATCAGGGTACAGCTATGTAGTTTTGAACCTCATTCACAACTTTACAAAGTGCTTCATACATTTCATCATGATGTTATTGAACAGTTTTATTTTTCAAATGATACCTTACAAGGCTTACTTTGTACAAAGATGATTACGTTATTGTATCATCTGTGAATACAGTTCTGCTTTTGGTCACAGAGTCACTAAGGAATGCTCTTCCTTAATGACTACTGACCCTTAAATAATGCTGGGGGCCAGGAGGAAACATGCTTGGTGACCTCTCTCCCTGGATGCACTGTGCTGCTGGACATTTTTCTATTCCCATGGGAACTAAAGGAAGAGGTTTTGCCGCCTCATGAGATCACTGCATGCTTTCTGATGCTTTTTCTGAACCTTACTGTTGTGATTATAGTCTCTGTTCTGAGAACAGCTTTCATGTGAGCAACTTTTGGTCCCTTATTTCAACATGTTTGTTTGAAGAGCCTACTAGGGGAAGGGGCTGCATGCATGCCTCATTTCAGGGACTGGATTGCTCTATTTGGCATCTGGTTCTGGGAAGTAGTTGCATATAAATTGCCTTTTTGTCTGTTTATCTCCTATACAGGGCCAGGGCCCAAAGCCTGGTGCAGTCTTTTTCCCTTCTCATGGTAGATGCATCTCTAGGGACCATTCAGTGCTTGGAGGAAATAGTAAGTACTAGTCCCACCATGTATCTTGATTCTGTCCAAGATTTTGAGCTTTTTGTCCTGCTTTTTGACTTGCTGCTGGTGTGTCCTTGTGACTGACCTTGGCATAGTAGCTTTCTCCCAGGGTTGCTCTGCCTATGTTCTGACCTGCTTCTACTTTGGCCTTCTGGCCAAGCTTCTTTAAAGTCTCTTCTTCCTGGGCAGTCCATGAACAAGATGTAAGTGGAATGAACACAAATAAGCTCCGTTAACAAGAAATACATGAGTAATTTCCTCTTGGTATGCATCAGACTCTGGCCCTCAGAGAGAGAGGCCTTCAGACCATTGTCCTCTGGGAAGCTCCCTTGTTGCCAGGTGTAGGATGTATATACCCTGTCACATCTGTCATCTAGCCATCCCAATAAGATCTCGTGATGGTGTGAAACATCCCACACTGTGTTCGTGCATCCCTAGTTAATGATTTCCTCTTTCTCTCCAGATCTCCGAGTTTGTGCAGAAAGATGAAATAAAGCCATCTGTGGTCCACCTGCTCTGGGAGCAGTTCACAGAGAAAGCGCAGCGGTCGTCACTGGAGCGCTGTGCTGCTGTCATGCTGCTGGGGATGATGGCACGGTGAGGCCATAGATCAGATCTTTGTATCCTTATTGACCCTATGAAAGCAGGGAGTCTTCCCAGAGTTAATTAGGTACAAGGCCTCAGTGGGCTGCAGTTTCTTGCTCTAGATTCTGTGGTCCCTGATTTCTGCAGAGATTCAGAAATGAATTGCATATAGAAATACTGGGTCCCAGTAACCCCAGTTTCTCTAGGTTGTTAGCATGCTACTAAATTCCCTGTGTTCTGAGCTAAGCTACCTCACCTTTTTCATGTTTTATTACAGTTCTGGGTACCTAGTTTATTAGTTCCATTGTATAGAGGAGAAGTTACTGAATATAGGGGTATTTGAAGACTTTGGGATTGCAGAGTAGTTGTTTCCTTGCCCACTTTGGTCAGAGTAGGGGATGGCTTTGTTTTCTGGGACATGAGGGTTTCAGTTCCTTATCTCCCAATCCAGTGACCCTTGAGACCACATACCTGCCCCCATTAGTTCCCACATCTACTACTGTAACAGTCAGTGAGGCACCTGATGGGTGTTTCCAGCACTCTTGATATTAGAGATGGGAGTCTCCCCAGTATGGCCCAGGTAAATACATCTTCCATCCCAGGGGTTGCAGCCAGATCATATATTACTGCTGCACAGACCTATCATACTTTCAGCAGCATTTGCAAAGCAAACTGACCCATTTTTGGAGGGGAGGAGGGAGCAGAACTACCCTTAGCTGCTGGACTCTGTTCTGCTCCTGCTGCAAGAATGTCAGTTGCTGCCTCTTCCCCCTTCCTTACCAAAAAAGTCTTTTCTGCTCTTGAGCCCTGGGGAGAATAGCTGAAACAATGTTGCCAGTTTTAGTGATGTATTGTCTGGTTTATCTTGTTTGTAATTGCTGCTGCCTCCTCCCCCACCAAAGCATGTGCAACATCCACCTCTCTAGAATTTGGTTGACTGCCTTTCACCTGAGTCAGGGATCAGTTGGCGGCTGTTTCTTCAGGCTCATGTCCCTCTTCGGCCGTCTTCGCATATTTCATGTAAGATTTCAGAACAATCCTACCTAATCATGTGCATTTTCCCCCTAACCACTGCCACTCAGGGGAAAGCCAGAGATTGTGGGTAGTAACCTGGATGTTCTGGTGAAGACTGGGCTAGATGAGAAGGTAATTGAAGACTATCGCCTCGCCCAAGAAGTGTGCAATGCCATCTCCAAGCTTGCCAATAGCAACAAGGTAAGGCATGTGAGCTCCCCCAAATGTTGGGCATTTCTTTGAACTTCCATTGTTAAATCCTCTATCCTGAGCAGCTAAAAAATGGGAAAATAGGTATTTATCAAGTCTAGGTCCACCCATCCACAGTGGAGACTAGAAGATGTAAATGGAACCATTTCTGTCCATCACTGGCAAGGCTAACTTCATTTGGGAAAACTAGGTCAATAGATTTTCCCATCCATGAACTTCCAGAGTGACAATTATGATCAGGGCTCAACAAATCATGTAATCTACTCGCCCATGGTGAGTAAATTACAAGTTGGCATCGCATGATCTGCGCATGCGCAGCTCACAGAACTGCACGGCTGGCGAGTGGGGCTCGCTGCCGTTTGGCAAGCCCCGATTATGATGCATGTCAGCTTGGCCAACTGGAGAATCTTTTCTGTTAAACCATGTTCCCTAAACTCTCGTAGCATCAGGTTTGGAGGTTTTGTTTATATTGGTGGAAGAATTACATTTAAACTTTACATGTAAAAGGAAGGTTGAATAGTCTAATTGGTTCAATCCCCAAAAAACCTAGCAGGTGAGAAGTGATCCTTGCACTTCTAGTTGTCTACAGCCATAGTCTCAAGAATTGGGACACAACAAAGCTTTTTGCTCTCCAGACCAGTATTGTCTCCCAGAATGCTATCTAGTACCATTGCTGGAGAAGGTGATGCAATGGGAGAGACCGTGTCAGACATGGCCAACCACATCCATGAAGATTTAGAAAGGGTTTCAATACCATTAAACTCCCTCTGCTGACGGAAAGGAGGCCTTGATTTTCTTTTTTCGGATCCAGTCAGTCTAACATCAAGTCCACGGATATTCTGTCGTGTGGAATCTACCCCCCTGACCTAAGCCCTTATTTTGCATTCAGACCTAACAGGCTCAGACTGGCTGCTAGGCCTTTGAAAACAAATGCTTGAAAAAAGAAAAGCTAATTCCCTGGAATTGTGAATTAGGGCTGTCCTTTACAAGAGCTCATTCAGACACTGGGATAGGCAGAAAAAGAATATGGTTAGCCTTGCCATTGGCCAATAAAGAAATATAGTATGGGTCTGTGGACTTGAAGTGAGGAGACGTTTATGCACTAGCAGGATAAATCTGGATCTTCATGTGGCTCTATATAATTCCTACTTTGTGGATAATGCACTGACCCAGGTGACTGACTATTGCAGCCCACATTGCACTTCCTCCTGCCCATCTCCTTAGTGTCTGTGGGCATTCTGAGTTGAAGGATATATAAAGGATCAGTGTACCTTCCCTCATCTCCTTTCCTCCCAACTGCAAGCACGAGATGGAAGTGAATTGCTCCAATCCTTTGGATCCAGGATTCTTTCCTACCTTGGTGCCTTCTCAGCTACAGTGTTAGAGTAGTTTGACCTTTTTTTTAGGTTTGGTTCTATGGGATGGCAGATCTGAATATAAGCAGGCTTCAAGGGATTTTGCTTCCTGCCTAAAGGACTCTGTGACCCCATGAAATGCCTTAAGTGCATCCAGGAAAGCCACTCTTCTGGATGTTCAGTCTGTTAGATCTTCATGTGTAGAGCATATAAGGAGAAGCAGAACTTACTGTAGGTGCAACTGATAAACTTTCTGGTTTTGGCTGGGATGTTTTCAGATCCCAAGTTTTAAAGGGTCTGTGCTGGCACAGGTAAGGCTAATGTGCCTAAGTAGTATTAGGGGTCCTTGTCCAAATTTGTTAGTTCCACATTCTGGAGCTGCTTCATTGACTTGTGGTAGGACTTTCAAATCCACACCATCCCTGAACTCTTTCAGGGATGAGGAAGCTAAGAAAGGGCCCATTAGTGGTATTAGACCACAAATAAGGGGCTTAGGTTGGAGAAGCAACCCCTGATTGGCAGATGAAGCCCAGCTGGGCAGGTGTCGGGAAGCTGGCAATAGAAATGAAGGCAGTGAAGAAGTCTGCAATCACTCTTCCCATTAGAAGGGGATTGAGGGAATCCAGGGGAAGAGTAGAACCTTGAGATCCTGGTCTCAAGGGAAGGATGTACCCAGAAAAGAGCCTTTGGGAAGTGGGTAGGAAGTAGGACAGGAAGAGAGCTGCAGGATTGGGGACTGAGCAAAAATTGGCTGCATGTTATAGGGTTCCTGGTCTGGAACTCAGAGTAGTGAGCATGACTGGATTCCCCTACCAGCCACTGACCGCATGGCAGTACTTGGACAGCAGGTCCCATGAAACTAGTCATGAAGGGGAAATCCCACAGTGCTTGGCTGGCTGAGGAAGCTATGTCACAAAGAGAAAGCTGCAGGCCCTAGAGTGAGAGGACAATGGTTGAGGGAGCAATGGGAGGCATTGGACCTTGAAGAGAGCTATTCCTCAGAGCAGCCAAGAGGAGGTGCCGCCTGTGTGGAGAAACTGTGGTACAGACCCTTCTATGAAAGCTGCCAAGGCACCATCTGTTCAGTTTGCAGCTGGGGACGCTATATTAAAGTTGTTGGTTCTAACGAATTTTGATTCCAAAGAAGGAGTCAAGGTAGAAAATGTTCAGTGTTAGCAGTGACCAATCCTGTGGATCAGATGTGTTGGATCCTTAAAATTCTAATCTGTTTTCTATAGTTGTGGTTTATAAGAGCAGAGGTGGTTCTACAATCCACATTCAAATACTGCAGACAGGGCCTTTCCCCAGATCCAGTGACATGTTTTTATTGACCCCAACACTAAAGTTGGATCCAAAGAGGACACTTCAGTGTGCTGTGCCTGATCATTCATCTGGTATGAGTGAGATTTTGCTTGGGGAGGGGAAGAAAAGGACTTAAATGGTTGCAAGATCTAAACTGCCTGTTCTTGAGAAGGGGATTTGAGAGGATACTTTGAGGTTTTTTTTTCCCCCAGAGCAGTCTCTCTTATTTGTCTCCTCCTTTTCCTAAGACTCTCCTGGGTCACCAGACAGATCTTGCCTTTGATTTATCATCTTTGCTACTCCCTCCCCCACAGTGCTCTTATCCCTGGTAAAATCCAATGTAGTTATCATAAGCATTGCTCCTTGTTATTTAATATGAAATCAAATAAAAACATCACCAACACCAGCTTTCTACTTCTCAATCTCAACAAATGAAGTCCTAGGACCAGGCTGAAGTTGAAGCAATCTGCTTTCTCATCTTCTTTGAATAATACAATAGTTGTAGATATGAGGTTAGGGATTTTAGGACCAACTAACAAAGGGTAAAAAGGAATTTTGTTTGGAGACTGTCGAGACCTTTTTGCAAGCAATTGCAGACTTACTTCATTGGACAAATGGATGCTAGAAATAGTAGGAAAGGATTATACAGTACAGTTCAAAACGCTTATTTCCTTTCAATTCTTCCAACCTTCCCCTTTTCAGGGAACTGTCTCAGAGTTCTTCTGTCAGAAGTTCAGGTACTGTTAGTGATAAGTGCAGAAAAATGATGGAGCTATTTGTTCAGTTTTCAATAGGAAGCTGAAGATATTCACCTGGAAGTTTCGGTTCCAAAACTTCAGCCTCCATCATTACCTCTCTCAAGCATAGGTTGTTTTAAAGCACTCTAGGATACATATTTCTGTTCAGCTCACTCTTCAGAAATACCTCTATTTTGTTGTGGGGCTAAATTCTGCCATATGAGGTCCTTCCCTGTTCTTTCTCTATGGCCCTAATGGTCCTTACCAACACCTTTGAAAGGCACTTTGTATATCTTTGCTGCCCCATACATTCAGCAGTTTGGCTGGTACAGTAAGCTTTGCGTGAAGAGCTGTTGACTCTTATTCAGTTTAAAACTTCTTCTCTTCTTACAGATTTAACACTACTTATAAATATCAAGAAATCTAGTCTCTGTCCAACTCAGAAAATCATCTTTTATGGGAGCTGTAAGAATTTAACACTGAAGGGTTTTCCTTTTGAAGGAAAGATTTCTGAATATTTGTAGTTCTCAAACCAAGATAATAACTTTCACTTTGGGTCTGATGGGTCACATGGCAGTGACCATATTACTCATAAGTATGAATATATAGTCACCTTGAACTCCAGTGACAAGTAAGCAATGTTCATTTAGAGAAATGATCTATCCATGGGGAAGGCTGTTTCCTCTACCTCCATTTACAAGCTGACCTATGCCCTGAAATATAAGACCCTTATCCCAACTTAAGCTCTTGGCAGAGAGGAGTGTTTAATCTTTTAGAACTAGTATTCAGAAACAAGCTATAGAAAAATGTCTGATCCTTTGGCTTCAATATAGTGCAGCAATAAATTAAAGCAACATATTTTAAAAGCTTATCTGAATGTTGGCTTGCTCCTACCTTGAAGAGTGAATAGAAATATTTAATTTTTCTACTTTCTGCTATATAGTATCCTCTGCTCTGGTTACTGACTGACTGGGTTACCTAGGCCACAAACAAAGCCTTGAGAAATTCAATGTCATGCCAGACTTTCCTCACTCTATTAGCCTCGCAGCCACAGCTGACTATTTCTGCACCACAGTGCACAGCTTTCTCTTGGTATCTCAGCTTTATGGAAGGAACTAGTGCTGCAGATGGTTGAATGCTGCTAGTAACCCTTCCTTTCCTCTCTCATTGATACTCCAGACCTGGATTGTGACTGTAGGGATAGTATTGTAGCTAACTGTGCCTCCATTTCCCACCTTTGGAAGATGATTTTCTTAGTTTCCACACCCCAAACAATATGCTTATGTTTGTTCAGCCCAAACATCTAGGTAGTTCAGATGTGCCCACGCTATTCTGGTCATACTTGGTTGTCCAAGTATGTCAGACTTCCAGCCCAGCAGTAACTCCTCTTCCCCTGCTTCTTCAGCTCCAGGTTCCATACATACAGAATGGGCATTTGGCTTCACTTGCCCAGCTTCTGTGTTGCTGTTCGTGAAAACTGCTTCTCTTAAGCTCACAAAATGGCAAGGGTATACGATCACCTTTTAATAAGGTGACCTGGACTGGTCACAGTACTCAGGTGAAAGCATTCTATTGATTAATATAATAGCATTATAATATTTTCACTATTTCAATGTCTTGTACCCTTGTTCACCTGATAGGAAAGCAGTATCAAATGACACTCCAAGGTAATAACTGCCAGCACAAGCTGAAACAGTAGGATTGCCCATCTTGTCTTTGAAGCTTCCTTTGTTGGCCTAAAACTACAATCTTTCTGCATGATGCAGAGTCACCGTTGTACCTTGAAAGTGGTTTCTGCCCCTTTTCTGGTCTGCATTGTTTGGGGTCTTGAGTGACTCTAGTATTGCTCCTCAAAAACATTCAGGATGGCTCTAGCATAAGTATAACACATTTTGTATCTAGTAGGATGTGTATCAAAAGCATTGAGCCCCTGAGCAACATTGCAGGGAGGAGGAGGTTATTGGTGAGCTCATGGTTATCCATCTGTCTGGGGTTCTTTCTGCAGCCAGCTGAGGGAAAGAACCTTGCTCCCTTTCGACTGCCACAGACGCACCTGCTGTTTGGATGTCTGAGTGAGGCTGTGACCAAAGGTAAGGTCAGGAAAGCTTCAGGGAAGAGGGATAGGCCTTGGTACATCTGACCTGTCTAACATGATTCTCTTTCTACTCACTAGGCTTTGCCCAGCCAAGCACACTCTGGATCCCCTTCACAGAGACAGCAGTGACCCTCACTTACCAGTTGGCAGAAGGGCCTGAGGAGATATGTGCCCAAATCCTGCGGTGTTGTATCCAGCAGGCTCTGGAGAAGCTTCAGGAGCCACCAGGGGTGGCAACAGGTGAGGGCAGGGAAGGGGGGAGAAGATCTGCACCCGTAGCCTGCAGCATTGTAACTGGCTATCCCTGGGATAGGTAGATGAAGTGGCTCTGGAAGAAGCTAGATTAGAAGGGGCTGAGGGTGCAGTGAGAAGGATATCCAAAGAGCTGTAGAGTCATTGAGACTCGCTGATGAATTGGAAGTTCTGTGAATGTTGACTCCTTCCTTTCCTTCCGTCAGAAGCAGGGACTTCTCCGAGCAGTGTCCTTGGCAGTACCAAAATGCTCCCTTTCTTCCTGCTGCTACCCAAAGTGCTCCCGACCTGCCTGCTAACTCACCTGAGTTCCCTTATGGGAAATGTGGCCTTACAGCAGGTTGTGCATCTGGAGCGGGCAGTGAGTGCAGAGCTCCGTAGGCGCCGTGTTCTTGGGGAGGAACAGGAGGCCAAGAAGCATGTTGGCAACAGCATCAAGGAGCAGAATGCCAAGGTGAGAATTGAGCTCCTTCATGTGTAGACCATTCCTTGTTAGTGACTGCCCCAGCAAGTGCTTAGGGAGAACTGTTCTGTAAGGAGTGGTTTGCAAAACCGGCATGGATTGATTTTAAATCCCTGATTCAAAACACTTTAAACCAGCAAGTGGGAAACCTTGGATTACAAAACAAGACTGAAGTCAGTAGTTATCTGAACTTTTTAATTTTCATAGAGGGCTAATTATCATTGGCAGTTGGTAATGATTACAACATGTTGATATAATGTCTGCACTGCATGTAGTGCTTCTTTTTTCTACCTAAGAGGATATGTTTAAAATATGGTGATATCAGTTATTTACTTTTTTTTATGATTTGTGTCAAGCTCTGTTTGACTGGAAATTCATATTTAATTGCACAAAAATAACATTGTAAATTATTTTTCTGTTAAATCTACTTTATGCTAGATACATATACAAAACTTTATTGGGAGAAAGATTATTAAAAGATTAGCATTTAAATGTAATTGAATAAACAAATGAAATATCACCATATTCTAAGATTTTAAAATTGGTAGATCTCATCTCACCTAATTCTCAATCATTTTCTGAAAGAGAAAAACATGGTTTCCTATCTTTTCAACTCCCATTGACTTAACTTTGAATGAGCTAGTCCTTGAACTGAGTTATAATAAACTGAAACAAAAATATATTCTCTCTGAATAGGTTATTGTCAAAAATTCTGATTTTTAGTATGTCGGCAAATTTTGTTCCAAGTGATGATTGAATGACTTCCTCTAGTTCAGTGATTTGATTATCTCTTAAGCTTGGCAGTGAAGCAGAGACCTCTTACATTCACTAAAGATCCCATTATGCCTTTGCGGGGAGAGGAGAATAAACCCCCATGTTCTGACCATGCTCCCCCGTTCTCTTCTTGTGCCTATGTAATACCTGTCACTTGCTCTCCCCAGCACCTTTTGGTCTTTTGGCTTTTATGCGTTCTCCTTGTGCAATACGGGTTGGACCTCACTGGTCCGGCACCCTTGGGACTTGACTGGTCCCAAACAAGGGCTTTGCTACACCCTTAAAGGTCCCTCCCCTCATGGCCCGTGCTGAGGGCTCCAGCCTGCCTCCGCTGCTGCCCGAGCCCTGCCTCTCCTCCTGGGGCTCTCTAGATGCCCCCAGCCATGCTACTGCCAGGGCTGGAGCACCATGGTCAGAGTTGCACAACCTGGGCAGAGCTCTGCAGCCTCCTGGATCTGGGCCTGGGGCAGAGGGATGAGGCTGGAGCTCCGTGACCCAGGCCAGAGCTCCCTGGCTGCTGCTGGGGTCAGAGCTCTACAGCTGCTGCTAGGCTAGAGCTGTGTGGCCAGGGAGCGCTGCTGGGGCCAGAACTCTCCCCTATGCTGCCTGTTGTTCCCCTCCACCATTCTCCCCCCCCACACACACACACAGGGCTCCTGACTGAGTCACTGGTGGCCCCTACAGCACTCCTGCCCTGCTGCCAGATCTCCCTGTTCCTGGGCTCTGTGGTCCAGGAACATCTGTGGTCGTCGCTGGACCAGGGAGTCCCAGTTAAGGGAGGTACAGCCTGTATACTTGAGTGGCAGAGGTCTTCTGCATGTGCCTTGTCTGATCAAGATTAAGTAGTGGAAGAAGTGCCTAAGGTTGAAAGAGAGTTTCTAGAGCCTCTCTGAGGCTGAGGGATTTTTGTGTCTATGGAATAGCCTGTGGAATTATACATGTAACAGTAGTTTTCTTAAGCAAGCTATATTAAAATGGTGGTATAACAAAAACGGTTCTTATTATCGCCACAGCCGCCCCCCCTTCAGAAGCCTTCACTATGCTGTGCCAGAAAATTCTTTTCTTCATCCCTCACGTACCCTGTTTATACTGTCTGTACCTCTCCAGTCTAGCACTCTCAGGACCTGACTGGTGTTGAACCAGAGAATTTGCTGAGCCATAGGAGGTCATTCTTGTCTAGCAGCATTACCAACTAGCGCTAAATAACAGCACAGAACATTGAGAGCCAGGACTGGTTGCTGCCAACAAACTTTATGGGATCGCAGGAAACTTGGGCACGCCCATGATGAGCAGACATCCAGCTAACTAAAATCATGCTGGATCATGGATGTTTCCAAACCAGAGTGTGCTGGACTAGAGAGGTTCAACCTGTAGTTTATTATCATGTCAAGTAACACTGATGCTTCTCCAGGAGTGTTTAATCCAGAGTACCATTTGGAGGAAGTGGTAAAGTGTGTCTTCCATATAAAGCAAGACCAGGTAGACTCATTTTTGTAAGCTGCTTTGGCTGATGAGGAACTAACTGGCTTTTTGGATTTGCATAGTCGTTGTTGTTTATAGATGTTAAATCAGGCCCTCCTGCTGGCTATTGCCAATTAGTCTTGGCTGATCAGAAGTAGCATGGACTTGTTGCTTTAAATCTCATCGATGTTGCCATGCCATGGAAATACAAACTGACAGATCTCAGGCCTGGTATTCTAATTCCATTCAAACTAGAGGGCAGAAAGGAGTTGAACCTAGATGGAAGATACTAGTAAGATGCAAACTTTTTTTCTGTAACTTCTGTTCAGTAACTTCTTTCCTCTTCACAGAACATTGAGAATGAGACTACTATGGAGGAGGATCTGGGCCTAGTTGGTGCCTCTGCTGATGACACTGAGGCAGAACTCATTCGCAGTATCTGTGAGACAGAGCTGCTGGCTGGTGTGTGTGCGGGC